CTATAATCCCAGTGCTTGGGAGGCTGAAAACAAAGAGAATCACTAGAGTCTGTAGAATGAGACTCTGTAGACCCTGTACTAAACACATTTTTAAAATAATAATAAATACAATGTACCCATAAAATTAATTTAAAATTTAGGACAACTGGAGTTTAAAATGTCTGATATCCAGTTTGGCATTACCCTTCCTGTACAGTACTAGGACGTGAAGCTGAGCAACGGATTTGACACAGTACAGGGCTGTGGTTCTTTTCCAGGGGCTCTGCTTCCCTTATCTCAGTTGTTGTGAAATGCCATGGATCTCATGCCTGTGAGAGAACTTTGTAAACTGCAAAATAAGGTAAAACTCTGATGTGTCATTTACAACCCCTGTGACTCCTGGGATGAGTTGCTCTAGAGTGAGTTCCTCTAGCCACGAGTTAAGGTCGTGTTCAGGACCTGGTCCAAGTTCAGCCCGCAGCAGTCAGGCCCCGCTAAAGTGCTGGAGGATTCACATGTGTGTGTGTGTGTGTGTGTGTGTGTGTGTGTGTGTGTGTGTGCCCGTGCACCCCGCCTTCTTGCTGATCCCGGGAGGAAACCACTCTGCGCTCTGTGATCTCTAGTGGTTCGAATGAGGCAAGAGTGCCATCTGGCTGGTTAGGATCGGTGGGCCTAGCACAGTGAGGGCTCCCGCGTGGTCTTAAAAGACTAAACCAGTTTTTAATGTTATTAATATTCCTGTGAACATGGCATTTAACGAGGGTCAGCTGAATAGTCAAGTGTTTGGACTAATGCATTTTTCAGGAAGTTCCTGGAGTGAGCAATAAGATTATCTGCCATTTCATCAATCTGGGTAAGAGTTTTCTGGGTTAGAACATTTAAGCGTAGACAACAAGCTGCGCCTGTATGGACAGTACATTATTTTTTCCAAAGAACCTTCGCATAACTTCCATTTCCCCATTTGTGTTAGTTTTTTTTTCAGACAAGTTCTCACTGTATAGTCCAGGCTGGTCTTGAACTCATGATCTCTGCTTCAGCCTCCTGAGTGCTGAGATTATTCACATAGACCACCATGTCAGGCTTTTAAACATCTTTTCATTCAGTATTTCCCCAACTCACTTTACCACAGCACTGTTTTCTTCCAATAAAAGCTGTGAACATGCCAGGGAACAGCCCACGGTAAACAATGACCACGAAATCATTTCCATGAGTGAGTCACTGATTCTCAGAGGTGAGTCCCAGACTGCACGCGTCAGCATCCCTTGGAAACGTGTTAGAAGCCGGCCTCACCTACTAAATCAGAAACCAGGGCTGTGGTCAGCAGGCTGCATCTTAATCCACCCTCTTGATAACTGACGCCGGCCACAGCTGGAGACTTGGAAAGTTCTCCTCTCCTCTTTACTTTTCCACCCAGTGCAGAACTGATATAGGTGTGTGCCTAAGCGGGCAGATACCTGATTCCTTCCAGCCTCCCAGTCCTTTAATACTAGTCTGCATTTTCTTAGTGGACGTGGAAGTAAACCACTTTCTGGTAAAGGCTGTGTACCTGTTCTTCCTATTTTGATTCATATGTTTAGCATTTCTACATATTTGCATTCTTTGTACAGAATACTCTCCCTGCACTAATATTAATGCATTTGGAAGGATATACAGTTCACTCTAGATTTTCGAAGGCAGCTGGAAGAAAGAGGTTGCACAGCATGGGGCCATCATTTTATCTAAACCAAATGAAAAGCAACCACTGAGGTGTCTCGTCTCCTTTTTCTCTTCTTGGCTTGACCTCCCTTCCTGTTCTGGTTCTACATTGGCTTGTTGACCTTTACTTCCACTGGCAGCTAAGTTTCATCTCCACTCAATTCAGAAGTCCACAGACCAGCTACTGCTAATTAACACTATCATCAAGAACGTGAAGGATGGAGCTGTCTTGAGACTACAGATTTTGTTTTTCCTGTCTCCAAGCTCCACCACAGCTCTGCTCAGTGAGGATGACATCTTAATTTTCCCAGCTTACACCAAGTTCTGCAATAGTATATTTCTACTTTGTCAGATCAGATTCCAGAGGCCCTCTTAGCTTAGAGCTCCACACTGCCTGTGCTTCCCACAGCGTGGTGTGGGTCCTGTGCCAACTCTTCTGCCTCCCTCCTGGTAGCTCCTGGGAGCAAAGCCCCAGAGGCCAATGCAGGCTGCACAGATGTGGTGTTATTTAGGACTCATCCCTGAGGTAGTGCACACACAAGAGGGTGGTGTGCAGCTACCAGCCTCAGATGCTGAATCATCTAGGAAGCTTTTCAAAATGCCCCATCCAAGGCCATATTCTACACCAAATAAATCAGAAGTGCTGGTGTACCAGCTAAGCATCAGGAGTTTTTAAAAGTTCCCTAAGAGCCAGACATAGTGGCACATACCTGTAATGTCAGTAATCTGGGATGCTGAGGCAGATGATCCCAAATTTAAGGATAACCAGGACAACTCAGAAGAGACATGCTCTCACGCCGAGAAATTTTAAAACTGGGCTAAAGTTGTTTTCTCAATGGTAGCACTTGCCTAGTGTGCACAGGGTCATGGTACAATCTCCAGCACTGAAAACAAACCAAAAAAATCCCTAGAAGCCTTCTTAAGTAATTTCAATGTGTAGAAAATTTGCAAGCCACTAATCTTGGTAGCAAACAAAAACCCATCTCTATGCTAGACATTGTCACAGTTTTGTTCTAAATACTTCACATCATCACTAAAGTATATTTCCATCCTGCTATTTCACAGCTGGGAAACTGAAAACACAAAGAGACAATGTGACTCATAGGGGAAGGCCACAGATGAACTGTCGAGGGCGGAAAGACCAGCCCATGGTATTCATATTTATGCTGTGGTAAATACAGTGTCATTCTTTGAATCCAGAAATTCATATATAAGGGCTGGTAGCTTGTTGGTGAAGGGTGAACTTAGCATGTTGAATGAGGTCCTGGGTTACATCCCCAGGAGCCAACAATAACAACTGATGATTCCATGCATGGTTAAAGTCCCACATTACTGACACTCTTTTTTGTCCCCAGGAAACCTCAACTTTTATATTTCAGAAGCCTAAAACTAGAGAAATAGAAGTGATTGTGTTTTTGGAAAAAGTTAATTGGGGATTAAATTGGGAACCTAGTTGTCCCTTCCCCTTTGGCTTACTCTCTGTCTCTCTCTGTCTCTCTGCCTCTGTCTCTGTCTGTGTCTGTCTCCATCTGTCTGTCTGTCTGTCTGTCTGTCTTTCTCTCTGTCTCTCTCTCTGTCCCTGCTGCTATTGTAGTTATGGTGTTTTTCATCTGCCACCCCCGCTCACTTCCACCCAACTGCCTTCTTTCTACCTTTGCCTGACCACAGGCTGCAAACTTGAGCCAAAATAAATATTTCCTCCTCTAAGTTGATTTCTGTGAGATACTTTATCATAGCAACAGAAAACTGACTGACAGATGAAGTCATATGGAAGGAATGTAGAAAACAGACCTGAGCATTGAAGGTTGAGTCTCTGTGATGCCGAGAGGCCTGGGAGTGAGGAGGAGTGGGCAGGCTTACATGGACTGACGGGAAGAGAGCTATTAGAGTTCAGAGCCCAGGCAAGGAAAGGGGTTCAAGGTGAAGAGCAATTGTCTGAAACGGCTCTGCGATGCCAAGTAGGCCAAGTTCAGGTTCAGATGATGTCTATTGGGTTTTGTGATATGCCACTGAATTTGACAGAAGGGGATTCCTGAAAGGCTCTGATCTAAGCGCTTCATTAGAGAGGGTTTAACAGAGTTTGAAGACAACATTTCTGGACCATTCTTTGGACAAAGTCAATTGGATTCTTGCAGATCTTTTCTTTGCTGTATTCCCAGGAGGTTCATGCCCTCTTAGCTCCTCTGTGCTGTTTCAGAGACCCCAGCCACACGCCTGCTAAGTACAAGAAATGGTGACAACTGCAGTTCCTTTTTCATGGATCACAGCCAGGGTGACTGCAAGGTTGGAGCTTTGAAAGCGAAAGTCAGCACACTTGGCCAACTAGGCCACATCCATCACTCGGAGTTCTTATGCTGCTGTCATCCCAGACAAAGTATTTGTGACCAAAACCAGAGCAACCATGGTGCTTCAAATACTTTACTGCATTGTTCTCTCCAGAAAAGTGCTGTTGTAAAACAAAACATCACAAAACACGCATGTGCGCACACACGTACACACACACACAGAAGGAGGGATGTAGCTAAGATGATTTGGGCTCAGAACGGTTTCTGTGCTTTCTGGTTGAGATAAGGTATCCCTGGGTTGCTCAGGCTGGTCTTAACTTCCGGGACCAGAGATCCCTCCACCTCAGTTTCCTGAATAAATGTGACTACAGGTGAAAGCTTCCACTCTTGGCTAGGGTGGATGGGAAAAATAACATTTGTGTATGCTCATAGGAAAGATTCAGTGAGGAATAAAATAAAAGACTGGCATAAACAGAAAGAGAGCTGGGGACTTACAGAGTTGAGAATCACGTGCCCACTGAAGTGGTGATTTTTTTTTTTAATTTTTTTTTTAATTTATCTGTGTGTGTGTGTGTGTGTGTGTGTGTGTGGCCAGCTCAGCCCACCAGGGGGCGGGGCTGGCTGGCATGTGGTGCTGGGGGATTGAACCGCGGTCCCTGTGCTTTGTTTAGCTTGTTCTAAGTAGGTGCTTTAGACCACTGAGCCATCTCACCAGCCCGGTGATTTTTTTTTAACCAATCCATTTTTAAATTCTTAAATTCTTGACATTATAGAACTAAACTGAAATTAACATTCCACTCTTGCCTTTCTTTCTTTCTTTCTTTCTTTCTTTCTTTCTTTCTTTCTTTCTTTCTTCTTTTTTTTTTTTTTGCAGAACTGGGGATTGAACTCAGGCCCTTGTCCTTATTCTACTGAGCTATCTCCTCAGCCCCAAAATTCAGTTGCATTTGCCAGGGAAGTGCTTATTCCACTGAACCAACTCCCCAGCCACCACTCTTATATTTCTTATTGACAAACAGAATATCCATGAGCCAAAAAACCCAAAACAACTAAACAGGGAAAAGCTTATAAAACTAAATATGGATCCCAGCATTAACAGCTGAACAGAGAATGTGATTTTTTAAATTCTTAGTGGATGATAAGGTGTAGAAACTGAACACTTACAAATTATTTAAAACCTGGAATCACTGACCAGAAATTACACAGTTGGATCATAGGAAAACAGCAGAAGAGGGTTATGAGTGAATCTACACCGTTCTAGCTGCACTCCATGCCCTTCTCAGAGGAAAGCCTGGCATTGATTAGGTATTGGGCCAGACTAATGCTGGCAGCTGAGCCAGTAATAGTAACCTGCCTACCAGAAAAGCCTTTGACTGGATTAGCAATTTTGATCTGGGCCTCGGACATCTGGTGGATCTCATTCATGTTGGCACCCTGGCGCCCGATTATGCAGCCAATTAAGTTATTTGGGATGGTGAGTTCATGGGTGGTTTGAATAGATGCATCCAAACTTGCCTAATAGCCTTTCACCTCTGGAGAGCTGGAGTCAATTCCGGCGAATCCGGTCCCGCCGTGCATCATGGCAAAGTGAGACTGTTGTCTTGCCACCTGGTTCAGCTTGGCCAGATCGAGCGGAGAAATGGTGTGTTGTCCTTGAATCGAGTAGGCGTCCAGAGGGGGTCCCTCCAGGTCGTGGGCAGTGTGGGGGTAGCCCGCAGCGTCGCTGCAGCGATCTTGGCTGCCTGCGCAGATGACCAGAGAGCTGGCCAGCATGGGCTGGTACGGAATGGTCATGACTCTCCCTTACGGAGACTGGGAGAGCGTCTCCAGCATGACCAGGCAGATCTGCTTGACACACTCGGTCCTGAAGTGTGATCTTGCTCAAACCATAGATGCATCCATATTCTAGGATCACTGTTCATACAATGTGGCACCTTACACGTGATAGAAACATAAAATTTAAACCCAGTATTTCATATTTAAGCCTAATACAATTGGCAAAGAGAGTTTGAGCTACAGCTCAGTGATAGAGCATTTTCTAGCATTTGTGAGCACCTGAGTTCAATCCCCAGCACTGAGAAACATCCTGACACAAAAGTTATTGGCCAGAGAGGTACATCCCTATAACGCCAGCTCTCTGGATGCCTGAGACAGGAGGACTGCAAGCATGAGCCTAGCCCGGACAATTTAACAATGCAGTGAGAGCCCATCTCACAATAACGATTTAAAAAGTATAGAAGGATTGGGGATATAGCTCACAGTGAAGGCCCTGGGTTCAACTCCCCCTCCTGCAAAGTCGATGCTTTGGTCTGTGAGTGTGTGGTAAAATAGGAAATTCATATGTTGTTGGTGAGGGTGTAAGTTGGTACAGTATCTGTGTGGAGACATGAATAGCTAGCGGGAAACTGAAGGCCTTGGAGGTGAAGGGTCTGTTCACCTCGGAAATTTACCCCAGGAAACTGACCTGCAACTTAGCCTCG